GCCTCTGACAAACAGAGGCCAGGGACACCATTTCTATCCCCTGGCTAATAGCCTTTTATGGACCTAACCTCCATGAACTTATCTAGCTTCTCTTTAAACTGTTATAGTCCTAGCCTTCACATCCTCCTCTGGCAAGGAGTTCCACAGGTTGACTACACACTGTGTGAAGAAGAACTTTCTTTTATTAGTTTTAAACCTGCTACCCATTAATTTCATTTGGTGTCCTCTAGTTCTTCTATTATGGGAACGAATAAATAACTTTTCTTTATCCGCCCTCTCCACATCACTCATGATTTTATAGACCTCTATCATATCCCCCCTCAGTCTCCTCTTTTCTAAACTGAAAAGTCCCAGTTGCTTTAACCTCTCTTCATATGGGACCCGTTCCAAACCCCTAATCATTTTAGTTGCCCTTTTCTGAACCCTTTCCAAGGCCAAAATATCTTTTTTGACACTGTGTGGAAGTTTTCAGAGAACTATCCACGATAACTCCAAGATCTCTTTCCTGATTTGTCGTAGACAGATTAGCCCCCATCATACTATACGTATAGTTGGGGTTATTTTTCCCGAAGTGCATTACTTTACACTTATCTGCAGGAAGACCTTAAGATGCTACTCACTGTGGCAGAACTGTAAAAGGCAGAGCTGTGTGCAGTACTTCCATTTGGTCTTGGGGAAAATAATGGGGGAAAAGAATACTGAGAACCATTTCCAAAACCGCTGTTACATCCCACCCACACCTCCTGCAGCAGTCTTGATACCCAAGGTTTAGTACATTTACCTCTCCTTATAACAAGTTACTAGCTCCTGCCTTTCATTTAAGATTTTCCTTCAGCGAATGTTGTTTTCCCCCGTTAAATGCCTTCCTTCCATTCCTATCTCCCTCATAGCTCCTACTTTTTCTTGTCCTTTGCTACTCTCTTTTCTTTGTCATCCATTATTGTCCTGGGTTTTTCCCCCCCCTCACCTGCCTCTCTCCATCTTCCCCATTTCAAGGTCTTCTCCACTCAGTATTTTTTATTCGCTTCTGTCAGACTTTCCCCAACAGACCCCAGACACAAATGACAGGAGTTCAAGGCAAATAGCTGAGACAGACACCACCTGGGGTGACCAGCTATCCCAGTCTTTATTAAAACAGAAAAATATTCCAATTTCAGTTGAGCCACTGAGACCACATTTGCAGGCCAACCAAGTCTCATTCAATAGGAATATTTATTCACAGGGAAGATGAACTGCTGAAGAAAAGTTAAAAAGAGATGGATTATTTGCGGTTAATATGCTGGTTTATGATGCAGGAGCTCTGATCTTGACAGTAGGACTCGCCCACAGACGATGACTTCTTCCACCTCACACAAGACACTTAATCTCTTGTTGCCTCAGTCCCACAACCATAACATGGGGGTAATGCCATTTTAATTTTCCCTGCCCTTTCTCTGCCTTGTCTCTTTCAAGTGCATGATTTCAGGGACAAAGACTGAGTCTTACTCTGTATAGTGTTTAGTACCATGCGTCTCAGACCTCTGGTGGGGCCTTGAAAAGTTACCATAGTATAATGAAACGGAGCATGTCAAAAACATTTTTTGTTTATGAAAAATGACCTTCCATTTTTGAAGATGAAAAATTCTATGAAAACACTCAAATTTTCTAATTTCAGTGAAAAACTGAAGAAGTTACAAATTAAAATCTATTTTCTTCCTCAACAACCCACCCCGCAACAATTTCTAACCTCATTTTTCCATTATTTTCTTCCTCAACAACCCACCCCGCAACAATTTCTAACCACATTTTTCCATTTCTCTCTCTCTTTCTTTTTTTTTTTTTCTTTTTTTTGTAGACTAAAGTTACCAGCATCTAAATGTCATGAATAAGAAAGTAAAATAAGATGGAGGGTTTTTAGAGAAGTCCAGAGAACTTCTTTTTTACAGAAAGAAGATTACTTCCTCAACAAGCAGCCTGTGTTGTCTGTGTTTGTTATTCTCACAGCAAATGTTCTTCCGTGGTTGGGTGCATCTACAGTATGAAATTTAGTAATGCTGTTTCAGCACAGTGCTTGAGAGCAGGTATATGTTTTTGAAATTTAAACAAGATCACAGTGTCATAGGATATGTCTACACAGCAAGGACAAAGTTGAATTAAGCTATGCAACTTCAGCTACGTCAACTGGGTAGCTTAAGTCAAAATAGTTTAACTCAGCATTTGGTGCTGTGTACACAGCAGAAAGTCGAAGGAAAAGCGTTCTTCTTTCGACTCTCCTTACTACTCGTGAAATGAGGATTACCATGAGCCAGAGTAAGAAGTCCTCCACCTTGACATTATTTCGAAATAATGGCTTGTAGTGTAGCTGCACACTTTGTTATTTCAGAACAATGTCAGTTATTCCGAAATAATGCTGCTGTGTAGACATACATCCATGTTGTGCAACTACAATGGGATCGGTATGCTCACCTCTAATTTGATCACTCCTCACTAATTTCATTTGTGAATAAAGCTGTATCAATGTGTCTATAAAGCTTTCACTCACCAGAGAGAAATGGCTGACTCCTATCCAAGACTCAGATCTTCATCCTTCATCCTCCAACCCAGTCTGGATTGGTGTTTACAGAGTCACAGAAGGAACAGGTACTCTTACAATGAGAAAGAGCAAGTTTGTATAATCTTAACTGCAAGATCTCAAGAGCCAGAACGAATTCAAAGTTCTTCTAATTTGACTTGGGGACTCCAGACTGTGACAGCAAGACTTAGAGAATGGCTCTTCTCTATAACCTCGTTTGAGTGATCATCTTTTGTTTCCATTTCTCTTGTTTGCAAGATGACAGCTATCACGTCAGATTACAGACTGCCTTTTAAAATGATACTTGTCAAAAGGGAACTGTTCTGAGCATCTAAGCGGAGGGGTTTGCTTTAATATTTAACTTGCCAAGAATTAAATTTCAAAAACAACTGCTTTAGTCTCTCACACATGTAGAACAATATTGCTTTCCTGAGTTTTCTTTCATTAAAACGTACATATTTAAAACGCACTTGCACTGTTTATAAGAGAAACCCTAATCATTTGAGCTCAGCACTCCCAGATTGTAATGTCCTTGTGCTGGCAAAAAATTAAAAAAAACCTGCTTTCTGTGTGTTTATGAAGCCTCCGGAAATACCATAGCAAACATTCCAGCTCTACAGCAGAGAGACCATGTGACTTGTAGGCACAGCCAGGAACTTCTTTCCCTTGAGTTTCTTCATGGAATGGAAAAGGGAAATTTTTTCTTTGAAGCCAGAATCCATGGCCAGGGCAGCATACGCAAGGTTGTTTTTAAAGATTATTTGGCTGAACACATCATCTTATTTTGTACTGAAAAGATCAAGTCTTTAGACATGTATTCAGATGCAGGGAACAAACCTGAACATCCTTTTTAGGACACTGCTACAAAAATATTTCCAGGATATTCTAAACCACGTTTTATCTTTCTTGTTCTGCACTTTTCTATTTCTTGGTATAAATAATTAAGCCATCTTCCCTCTCACCTCCCAGGGAAGACTTGGTTAATTGCTCTTATAGAGGGGAGGGGAGGTCTTTCCCATTTTTCAGTTTGATTTTTGTTAGCTCTGTTAATTAACGGATTTGTCCATGCAAGTTTTGCTAAGTGTGACCAAAGATGACTCACAGTGTGAATAATAGCCTGAATAATAGCCTTCCATTTTTATCAGTATCTGTAAGTAATCATTCAAGAGATAAGGGATATGGCGGGGGGGAGCATACAATGCTTTTTCTATACCTGTGAACATTTGCTTTCCTGTTTTAAAAGAAAAAAAAAACACAAAAAAGGAAGGCAGCACTGTAGTAAAAAGTACAGCAAATGGCAAGCACACACCACTAACTTGCTCCATGGGCCATGCCACAAATGTTTCTAATTATCAGAGGCAAAACTGGGATGGCATTTTCTGCTGGAAGCAAGATTTTCAATACACCTTCTCTTCCCCTCTCAGCCTATAAATATCGGTCATTTTTTTTCTCATTTGGTCCTCGAAATAAGCATGCGGATAGGACGAGAGTGTTTGGAGGTGAGGCCGGGAAGAAACATTGATGAAGAAATGCTTCCAGGCAACAGTCTGCACCTAACCAATATGTATCATTGAAATGCTAGGGAGAAATAAATAAGGGAAGTGTATTCAATAATTAACACCAGTCCCTCTCTAATTATGATCCGTAAACCGTTGGCTGATGAGCTGCAAAAAGCTGGATGGTCACATGGTACTAACTCCTCCTTATTTGCAGATGCTATGTTGCATTCAAAACAACTGAAAATACATTAACAGTTACCTCCCCACATATGCAAGGCCACAGAGACATTCTTGAGAGTGGAAGTGGAAATGGTCTGCATGACAGTAAGTGGGAGTTCAGATGACCAACAAGACAAAATGCGGATCACATTGCAAAAACACTTGAAGACCCCTAAAAGTACTCTCTGGCTATGCCAAAAACAGAGAGGCAATATCATCTTATGTATGTCAAAAACTATTAAAAAAAAGATGGACCCAAACTAAGAGGGTAGAACAAGTTTGAAGGAAATGCCTTAATGTGACAAAACCAAACAACAATAAAGCTCGTTGTGTACTTTTTATTCCCCATTACACCTGCATATCAAGGCTGAACACTCCTGCATTGAAACTGGTGTTGAATTGTTAAAGGGTTACTAAAGTTTGTTTTTTATAAGTGCACATTTACTGTGAGCATGTGGAACATACTAATGCTCTAGTCTGCAGTTGGAATGGCTAGTGCAAGGCTCATTCACAGCATGTATTAGAGTCAACAGAATTAAACCAAGGTAGCCAATGAATGTTTATACCAAGAGCTTTGCTTGCAGGGTTCTGTCATTGCCATCAATCAAACTGCTTTTCAAAAGAACCTTAATAGTAAATGAGTGGTTAAAGCATAAACCATGATGCACTAGCTAGAAAAGAGAAGAAGCCCATGTGTATTTTACCAGGTGAGAATACAAAAATCTTCCTACCTGAGTTCCGCAAGTGCCTTCTTCCTCTCAGGAGCAGATGACTATGTCCTCAGGGCCTTCACATAACACGATCCATGTTCCTGCAATGAAATATAGATACGACACTCATGCATCCTCGTTAGTGCAAGGCACCGTTTAAGTGGCTACAGCAGATTTGCAAAAACTCAAGAAATTTTAAATGTTTAAAAAATATAATATGGGGGGGGACCTAAAATGTGGGATCCTAGGCTCTGTAACCAGCAATGCCACTGATCTGTTGTGAAACGAAGGGACGAATCACTTCATCTGTTTAAACCTTAAAGTTTGCTCATCTGTAAAATGAAGATGGAGAGCAGCTAGTGAATTCTACTGAGCTGAGTATCCAGATTTATGAACCTGAAAGGAACTTTTTTTTTTTTTCAGATAAATGCCATGCCGAACTCTCATTTTTTGTGCAAAGTCTTTGATGAATGTTATGAGCTATTATCATTAAAACAAACACAAAACAAAAACAAACCTGATCTTTCCTTAGGTGAAGGAGAGTGGGAAACAAAATACCACAAAACACCATATTTTCTGAAGCAAAACAAAGCAAATTTACCAATTACTTTGGCGCCACACCTTGACTTCTAGGAAATGCTTTTTAAATAATAAAAGAAATACTGTGACGGGGACAGTGGAATGTTTACTGGCAGAATGAGTTCTGTTACCTGCTGTCTCAGCAGCCAAGCAAGGAATCCTTCCTTATAGGCTTCTAGAAACAGGCTCTAAAATTCAGAATACTGGGCAAAAAAAAAGGAGAACATTCACATATGAATACAGTTTGCAATCACTGATCCCTTTAATTTTTTCAATTGTGTGTGGAATAAATTTTATTATGTGCACTGAGGCATGTGCAGATGTGCACAACCAGTAAAAACACATGTTGTCAACTGTGGGTATTGTGGGCTCTCTGCTAACAAGCTGGAGCATTTGAATCTTCCCTGCATGGCTGCCAAAGTGCTTAGTTTACAGGGAACATTGTTCACAATCTTTTTATTGATTTTCAAGTAACTTTTCACACAATGATATTTTGTTTGCGAGAATATTCATGAAAAACCACTTTTCCAAAGCAGAAAATTTCACATGTGATTCGAGTGTCCATTCTATCGGCTACCTGTCTATCAACAATTATCAGGAATTAAAGCCAGGTACTCAGGGAACTACTCAGATTCCTCAAAATATTCAGATTCAGGGTTGGATGACAAATGTAGAATAATGAAAAATGTAAGTTATGAATAATGAAAAATGTAAGTTGCTATTTGGATTACAGGGGTATTTAATTTGTTCATGAATAATTCATAAAGAATAAAAAAGGTAAAAATTAAATTGTTTGCTAAGAACCCCAAATGAAATATGCATATTGATATAAAGAAACAATCCGCCTCAGAAATGGATTTGGATGGGTTTTTGGTACAAAACAGCCATTTTAGGTAGTCCACATTTGGACAGACACTATTGGAGAACAATTGACCTTTAAGTCTCATGACAATGTCTATTTTCTCCATTACATGTTTGTTCTCTTCCACAGATTCTCCTCCACCCACACCCACAAGTTAACGTCTTCCCACTAGAGGTTAAATTTTTGTTCCAGCTAATAGAGGAGTCAGAAGTTCTAGGTTCTGCTACTGACACACTATGCAATGCTGAGTGATTCACTTCACTTCTCTGGGACTCGGTTTGCCCATCTGTAAAATGGGGATTGTGGTACTGTCCTTCCTTTTACAAGTGCTTTCTGACCTATGGCTGAAAAGCATTGCACAACAGCTGAGTATTGCTATTATTAATAATCCCACCTGACAGAGTCTCCATCCCTTTCTTAAAAAGCTGGCCTAAAAAACACACCTCTTCTGTGCTGCCCACATACTACCCCTCCACAAACACTTGCTATCAACCTGAGGATGCAGCCTCTCTCACTGTCCTGTAAGCACTGAACATTCAGTGAGGCAGTTGTACGAGCAGTGCACTGTTAAGATGAACTCTCTGTTCTACGCACATTGATAATCTCTCCTAACAAAGCTCCCAGTTTTCACTTCAGCACTGCCAATGCAAGCACAGCATGTCTGCTGTTCCTGATGAGCCAGCAGAGGGAGCACAAAAGCCAAGCTGTGGGACTCAAAGGAGCCTCTTTTTAATAAAGTTTTGTGGCTATCACATGTTCAATCCTTAAAAGGCAGTTGATACTAGATTATTTTTATAGGACAACAGCTCTGTGGTGCATTATAAGTTACAAAAGACTAAACTCTCTGCTCTGAGGCGATGAGACTCTATGATCAGTAAGTGAACATTGTGGACAGCGTTGTCTGTCAACTCTTGTGATTTTATCATGAGTCTGACAATATTTGGTGTTTTGCTTTCAGCCTCAGCTCTTGGAATCCTGTGAATATAAGTAAATCTCAGTTTCCATGTTAAAAAAGAAAAACGTAGCTGTCGATGTCTAGCCCCCACTGTTGTACAGAAAAATTCAGATATGTGACCCGAATGCACGCCTCAACGGCTTGAAAAAAGAGAAGACAAATAAAAAGGACCCCAAATGTGGGGTGGGGTTGCAGAGCATTTTTATAAATATAATGACTTTTAAGCCAACCATGATTTTGAGTGCCTTACACATAGTTTTTGAATATGTGGGGTTGGTAATTAGCAATGCTGCAAGAGTAAACAATGAGAAAGGAAAATATAGCTTGAGAGTGTGTAGGACACACACAGAGCAAATCATTCACAATGGCCAGTTCAACATATTTCTCATTTAAATGCATCTCCTCAGTGGCTTATTGTCAGGCCTTATGGAATAGGTTTGTTTGTTTGTTTTTTAAGGCGGGACTGGAACAAAGTCTGTTCCAAGCACAATAGGGCAGCATGGAAGAAGGTATGAAGACAAGAGTGGGAGCAGGATACACGGGGAGCTATTAACCAGAAGGGCTTGTGTGGGGAAAGAAAGAAATAGGTTAACAAAGAGAAATAAGCAAGGATTTAGCTAGAGAAGAGTTGAGCGAAAGCTTGAAAACCGGGGAAAACCAGTGAAATGTTTTGAATGGGGAAGTGACATGAGCTAGTGTTGAATTATAACAGTTTCAACCACTTACGCGGATCACAAGAAAAGGCGGATTTCCCTTCCGTCTCACATACACTGGTCTGACCTCACAGCTACCAACTTTTTGACAGGGGACAGTCAAAAAACTCCCTTCAGAGCCAAACAACTCTGCTCCACAGTCAGCAAGAGAAGTCACTGCTGAGGAACAATTAATCACTTTGTTTTCCTGAAGCTCCCTACCTCTGTCTGCCCAAGGAGAAAGGAGAGACACTGTAAGTAGGTGTCAAACCCTCATCTCTTGAAAATCAGCAGAAGAAACTAAAAGCAAAACCCAGATAAAGTGAAAGCAGGAGAGACACAAAAAAGTGAACCCCTAGTGAATCAACATGGCCTCATTTAGCCTGAAAAAATTTAAGACATGTGCTTAAGCATGCAACAACAGTCTCATTCAGGCCTAAATTATGGGGTGGAATGCAACTAAAAAGTTCATTCTGGTTTTAGAATTATTACCAAATCCACTTATTTTCTCGTTAAACGGGAGGCCCCCTTTCAAATTAGGAATGCCCCCAATCCCAGAATGAACTGTTCAGCGGACCAGATGCTAGACCTCCTCATCCATAAACATCATATCCAGAATTATCTTCGCTCCAAGAGAAGCATTCACCTGACACGCTTTCTATGTTACTCAGAAAAACAGACAAATGTGTACACAAAAGTGTCTTTAAACATCAAATATAACCTTCATTATGCAGCCTGCATTATAAGTTAGTTAATTGAGCCCTCTATAGGTTTGCAAAGTTTCTGCAATTTTATTGCTGCAAAATTTCCTGTAGCTATTTATATTCAGCATCATGTGAACTTTCCATATTTCTTAGGCCCTTGCAGAACTCCCACTTTAAAAAAGGAGGGGGGAGTTGTCTGCTAGTTTTACAGCGAAGAAAATCTTGAGTACTTATGGGATAGATTTTAAGCACCATACTGGAAAAGAAATAATGGATATAGTTCAAAGAGCCAAGACACTGCAGAGATACAAGACTATATATTTAATTTAACTAATGGCTTTAACTCTTCTTTCCAAAATGCATACCAAAATCCATCAAAGTGCCACCACTGCTCCCTTTGTGTAACCCCTGTACAACACCTGAAAGAGGATAGGTGAGATGCCCCCGATTCACCAGCCAACAGAACTTGCTGGCTGCACAGAGGCCAGAGAGTGCTTGTCTCCCTGTAGTCCTGGGCAGACTGCTGCTGCATGTTAGTGCGCTGTAGGGACTAGCAGCTTGTTTTCCCTGAGCTCCCACTAAGGGAAGCGACAGGCTCTGGATCTGGATCTGTTTTTTTTTTTTTACTAGGTTGCCCCTCCTCCTAGCAGAGGGCTGGTGCCCTACAGGCACAAACAAACCCTTCCTCAACAGCCATGTGTTACATAATTTCTCTTCCAAGAACAGCACAGAGATCTAGAGGTACAGATTACACAATGAGGCTGTGATTATAAAGCTGCCTTAGGTATACACTTGGGTGGCCTACACACACTATCAAATTTGCACTGTATTATGTTTACACTGTAACCTGTTGCTTTAAAACAGTTTACTATGTACTTTTCTCCTAAATGACTATAATGGACTGTCTAGTGGGTGCAGTAAATGATTACAGACCGGCAGGGATGGATTTTCCCCCACACACTCACCCACATACTCCCCCAATGATTTTTTTTTTAAATTTTGTCAACATTGTCAGGTTTTCAGTGGTTTAAAATTGGAAACTTTGCATTTTCAATAGGTGAAAAATGTTTAATCTTGTAACAAAACCTTGGTTTTGTTTAAAAGTAAGCAGGCAATGTTTCAAAGTTTTTTTCCCTGTTTTGTCAAAAACAATTGGCATATAAAAACCAATGATGGTGCATTTACCGGTCCATGGATCACCAATTTGAAAGTTCTGCCACTAGCCATGTACAGTAAACTTCAGATAATCCGGCACCTTTAGGACCCAGGGGGTGCCAGATGATCAGATATGCCGGACTATCAGAAGCGG